TCATGTATTGTTGAAGCCTCGCTTGGAGAATTTTGAGCATTACTTTGCTAGTGTGTGAGATGAGTGTAATTAATTGTGAATTAATTCAACAGGGTATTATTGAATTTTAAGAAACATATGACAGATAATATTAGGGAGGCAGTGGATGGATGAGAAAGAGGAAAATAGAACTGACAAGGCGATTTTTTTTTTCTGATGTTACTGACCATGAATGAAGCAGTGCCAGGCATTGCTGTGGGTGCTGGGTATGCAGTGGTGGAAAAGTTGTAGTTTTTAACCTCTGATGTATTTAAAATCTAAATAAACTGTTATTAAATGACAAATTACATTAGTATGTTAGCCTAAATTACAACATTTTCAAAGAGAACTAAATTCTTCGCCTGGTTAGGGTTCGGGCCAGCACAGGGAAGCCTGTCTGGGGAAGCGTTACCTGCAGCATGTCAGTGCCTGGTCAGAGCAGTGCTGGGTGATGGGGGTGGGGGTGGGGGCCCCGGGAGGGAGACTTCTCCCCAGGGGAGGGGGGTCTGCACCAGGGCTCCTGCCCTGACCCTGGTGACTGCTGAGGCCACCAGCTGGAGGACCAGGGGGGCAAGTCCTCTTGTGGACCTCGTGGCCTGTGTCCACTCTGGTGATCAATCACAAACAGGGCCCATCAAGTTCCCATCCTCCCTGTGGCCCTCAAGTTCCTCCCCCCATCTCCCTCCTCCTTCATTCCCTAGACCCAGTCCTCCCCACTCCCGCCAATCCTTCTAGAAATTCTTCTACCTGCCTTTAGTCCTCCAGAGTTTGGGGGTTGGGAACTGTTTAGAGTTCAAGCACCCCCACACCCTGCTGTCTTCCTCGGTCTTCTCTGCCCCTCAGAGAACTGGCTAGAGAACCTTGTACTGACCCCACGGGGGTGCTGGGAGGGGCTTGCAGCCTGGTTGGGTCCCATCCCCAGGAAACACACAGTGCAAAGAGGACCAGGCTGCCTGCTCTTTAACAGTGTCAGGACCACCCCCTTCACCCCACCAACCACAGGGACACACCCAGCCCCTTCTCCAGCGCATCCATTCAGGTTTCAATAAGCAGCCTCCTCTAGCTGTAGGGCCCCCTGGAGTCCGAGGAAACCCCTTGGCAGGGGTTGAAGGCTGAGGCCCTTTCTCTCCCACCCAGCACCTCAGAATGTGTGGAGCTGGGACACCCCCAGGTGCCCATCTCTGCTCTGATGAGAGGTGAGAAGGAGCACAGTTCCAGAGCACAAAGGGCTGGCCAGAAGCCACTTACAGGTTTGGAGCCTAGGTCAGACCTCTGAGCCCAGGAGCCCTGTTTGCCAGTCCAAGCTCTCTCTGACCCACAGCTCAGAGATGTGGGGGAGCAAGTTTAAACAGATGGAAGTGGAAAAGGAAATCGTAGTTTAATTATGTGGCAACAACAGGAGCCCAATAAGTCAGGCAGACAGCTAATGAGGAGCTGGGAGGTCAGCGTGCCTGAGGAGAGCAGGGCCAGGACAGTCAGAGCGAGAGTGGGCAGAGCGTCCATGCAGGAGCTCGCTCACAGCGGAGGCTCGGTGACATCACCACTGCAGATGTGAAGGCAGAGCTTGGCCTGTCCAGAAGGGAAGGTCTTTATTTACGAAACAAACAATTGTCTGGTGGCACAGTAACCATAATTCCCCACGACAACCTCCCATGAAGTACCAATGTTTCTCTGTCCTGCAAACGTGACCTCAGAGGAAGAGTCCAAACTAGCAAAATTTCACTGCAAGAGAGATGCCCAGGGTGTGGATCCGGGTTCTGACCCCGGGGTCTGGGTTCTCCCTTATCCTCCTCCTCACTTATGAAAGAGCACTCTCACAGTGTGCCTGCAAAGGGAGATGCCATTTAGTTATTAAAGGGTGCTGCCTGAGGATGAATTGCTTTTATCTAGAGCATGCCTCAGCTGCTTCAAGGCACATGCTCAGTGTGGGCGTCATCTGGACCAAGACTTCTAAAACTAAGCATAGAACAAAACTACCTTTCCCATTTGGAGAGGCCACATGGCTATGTGAACTGGGCTTGGAGAATGAAAAAAAACACTGTAGACGATTAAGGAGCTAGGATTGGGTGGGAGAATTAGGGCAAATGAAAATATTTGCCCATCCTTTCCTGGATATCTTGTTCATCAGAGACTAGAAGCATCTTCAGTGTCTCTATTTCATGGTAGGTCAGTCCCTCCCTCATACCCACTGCTGCCAAGGAACATGTGGGTTTCAATAGCAAAGGGAAATTCTGAAGGACAGAAAAATCAGTCTATGTGTTCCATGCTTATAGACCTTGAGTTCCCAGTGTTTTACTGGACAGCAGATGACCATCACACCCACATGGTGAATCTGTCCTTATGTATATGGTTGTGTCACAAGAAAGAGGTATATTGAAAGATGTATTTTAAATTCCCAAGAGTCACCAGTTAAGACTGATCTTTTTTTTTTCCCATTTATTTTTATTAGTTGGAGGCTAATTACTTTACATCATTGCAGTGGTTTTTGTCATACATTGAAATGAATTAGCCATGGATTTACATGTATTCCCCATCCCGGTCCCCCCTCCCACCTCCCTCTCCACCCGATCCCTCTGGGTCTTCCCAGTGCACCAGGCCC